GGTAGGGGAGGCAACAGTCACACGCATGATGGAGAGAGTAGGAGTACCGTGCATTGATTGACAAGTGGGTCCACCAGCCGTGGGACCCAGTAAAAAGAGAGGATAAGCTCTGTATACTGCCCAGCAAAGAAAAAGAGAAGAGAAAATATTTGAGAAACACAAAATGAGAGCCTAATTGATTTGCAACCAAAATTTGCCATGCCAAAGACTTGGCAAGCCAAATGTGAGAGATTGGTAAGTTTTGATAACAAACTAAACAATAATTAAAATCATGGCTTACCAAATCTTTAGTTTAACATATTTTGGAAAGCCAACCAATCAAACCCTGAGGTCAAGAAGGCAACCTTCCTTCTAGTTAGCGAGATCCCCTCCTCCGATCTCCCTCATGTCATAGCTCACGTCACCAGTTTGATCTCTCCAGCAGCCACGGGTTGTGACAGCAATTAAGAGGGTGTTTGGGGAGGGTTTAGGGTTTAGGGTTTGAGCTCTGGTCATGGATGGATGGGTGTGGCCTATCGGGTACGCATTTGCCCCTGGCATGCGTTTCGGCTGCCGTTCCGCTGGTCAAAGCATTAATCGCGTCGCTTCGTTTCACTCGCCACCCATTTGGCGCTCGCCTCCCTTACTGCAGAGTCGCCCGCTCGCCTCCCTTCCAATCCAACAGTCTCCCTTCTGCTCGCGCCATGGACTCGGCGATGGAGGTGGCACCGGTCTAATCGGATGAGATGGCACCGCTGGAGTCAGAGATGCTGGTGCGCGTCGGACTTCGTCTCGTCCAAGAAGGTTTTGCTGGACTCCATGGAAGACGGCCTCGAGCAGGACTCCACGGTCTTTGCTAGCGCCATGGAGATGACTTCGGACTCCTTCGTGTCAGACTCCTTGCTGCTGGAGTCCCAACCTTCTCTCTGTGTTCGCTGCAGCACGTCCCACACCGACAACGACGACGAAGGCTGCTTCCAAGCTCGCCGCCGCACTCGCAGGTGTGCCCATTGCGGTCTTCTACATAGCGACTATGATCTCGCAGCAAGGATATTGCATGACATAGAAAAATTTGATTGTGAGACCTACATTCCTGATGTGGAGAAGCTTCAAATGGATGGTGACACCATACTTGTGCATGAGCACATTATGAAGAAGTTGGACGAGCAATTAAAGATGAAGCAAGATGCCTCCATGGAGATAGCGACAGTGGACGGCGCCATGGAAGATGCAAAGAAAGATCAGTAAGGTTACATGTCTCATTCATTCAACCTAAGGTGCATGCATCTCCTAACTTGCTTTTTCTAATTTGCTCCTAACCAACTTGCATCTTCTAATTGTTTGATGCAGGAAGACTAGCAATTGCTTCAGCTAGCAAGGACGCTTCACAGGAGATTTGCAATGGCAACCGATCTTCTTTCTCTAATTTTTCTTTTTGCATGTGAGGAATCTTGATCTTGTTGCATCCTTTAACCTTCATGGCTTCCTTCAAAACACTCTGAAGTGTTAAAAAATTTCTGTTTGTTTTGTGTGGACAATATTCTATGAATGCCTACGAAATATGTGTGGAAGAAATCAATCAATGAGTGGACAATATTAATATGAATGCCTACAAAACATGTGTGAACAATTTATCCATTTACCTGTTGCACTGCTGGAACTAGATCTTGTATTGTTTTTGCATTCTTCTTGTATTGAATAGCTTGAATAGCTCAAAAAAAACCCAAGTCCAGAATATTAAAATCTGGAGAATTGGGTGGTTGACAAATTAGGCGAATGTCAAACCCTTCTTGCTTAGCAGCCTCACAAAAAACAGGATCATTCTCACGTAAATGGGAAGGTGTATTATCTTGTTGTATGAAAATTGGTTTGTTCACATATTCTCTTGGCCATTTGGCTCGAATGGCAGGCAACACTCTGTTTATCATGAAATCTCTAATCACATCTCTTGTGATTGAAGTTATTGGCCTGATTACTTGTTCTCCACGAAGACGATTCTGACTTCTTCTTACAGTAGTTTCATAAAGTGACAAGTGGAAAACAACCAATTTTCCCATAAAAAATACGCTCTCCATTCCTAAACCTTGGCTGAGCACAAACACACAAAACATGAGCCTAGGGATGTAATTCTTGTTCTTACAAGTGCGATGTGGTTCATCTTCCTCGGGTAGTAAGTAATATTTCTCAGATTTTTGAGAGAGGTAAAACCATTTTTCATCAATGAACACAAAGTCAAAAAATGCCTTAAATCTTGGATCACCAAGCAAACCCAGCTCCATCATGTCAACATACCACTTTAACCGAGATCTCTTGTTAGCATCTATGAGGTATGGTTTGATGCTACTAGAGTGGTGCCTAAGAAAACCTTTTTTCAAATACCTTTGTATCCACAATTTGCTCATGTTAAGTTTGCTACACACATCTTTTATGGTCATTCTTTGCTTGAGAGGAATGTTGAGTAATTGTTCCAAATCAACAGGGACTGCCTTACGGCCACATGTACCCTTCTTTCGACTAGCAACCACAACCGGAATGTTATGAGCAAGTTGGATTTTACCTCGCTTCCATAAGCGCTGAACTGACCGAATGTGTACTCCAAATTAATCAGCAACAAATCTTGTATCTTTCTTGCCTAGTTTCCCATTCTTGCTTCTAGCCAACAATGCTTGATACACTTGTCTTGTGACTTCTTCTGTCATGTCTTTCCTTCGATGGTTTACTTCAAAGGGAGCAACAACAGCATGTTCTAGTAAAAGAAAAAAAACAAGCACATTCAAAATAACCGCATTTTTTACCTAAAAAAAATCTAATTGTATCAAAAAATTACCAGTGAGGTTTTGTACAAAATCAAAATCAACTGCACCACACTAGTGGAGAAATGAGATCTAGTCCCGGTTGGGAACTAGCTCTACTCCCGGTTTCCCAACCGGGACTAGCAATCCGGGACTAAAGATATTGTTCTTTAGTCCCGGTTTGCCACAACCGGGACTAAAGATCCTCCCAGCTTTAAAAAAAATGCCTTCCACCGCTGCGCCCCGTGAGATTCGAACCCAAGACCTCATGCACTGCCTCGCGCGTAGCTTACCACCCCACCTACACAACACATCTAACAATAGATGGGATGCTTTCCTTTTGAACTAACCCATCGGGGGACCTTTAGTCCCGGTTGATGTTACTAACCGGGACTAAAGGACCTTTAGTCCCGGTTAGTAACATCAACCGGGACTAAAGGTCCCCGATGGACTAAAGATCCTCCCACTTTAAAAAAATGCCTCCCACAGCTGCGCCCGTGAGATTCGAACCCAAGACCTCATGCCTTTGCCTCGCCTGTAGCTTACCACCCCACCTACACAACACATCTAACAATAGATGGGATGCTTTCCTTTGAACTAACCCCATCGGGGACCTTTAGTCCCGGTTGATGTTACCAACCGGGACTAAAGGGTCCTTTAGTCCCATTAGTAACATCAACCCGGACTAAAAGGTCACCCTTTAGTCCCGGTTGGTGTTACCAACCGGGAGTAAAGGTTGGAGGACTTTTAGTCCCGGTTGGTGGCTCCAACCGGGAGTAAAGGTCCACCTTTAGTCCCGGCTCCAACCGGGACTAAAGGTCCCCTTGTTGTCTTAGAGTGCGATGGCCGTTGGGCAGGGACCTTTAGTCCCGGTTGGTGTCTCCAACCGGGACTAAAGGTCTCTCTAGTCCCGGGCGCAAAAAATACCGGGACTAGAGCTCATTTTGGCCTCAGATGAAAGGTCTGTTCTCTACTAGTGCCATATTCGTCTAGTGGCAAATTCAAATCCAATCCTGTCAAAAAAGGAAACAATGATATGAGAAACGAAACTAATTTGCTCATATGCTGTGAGTATCAAATCAAATCATATGGAAAAGAAAGTAACAACAGACACATTACCATTGTCGTTGTGATCCTCCAATATTGGCTCGTTGAGATTGAAGGCAAGATTGCCGTTGTCATCTTCTTCTATAGGAACGTTGAGATCAAAGCCAGGGAAAAAATCAACCATTGCACCGTAGATGGAAAAGAGAAGAGGTGGGAAGAGAAAAGGTGGAGCACCGTAGATGGAAAGACACCGCTTAAATAGGCATGCTATAACCCAAACAACGGAGACAAAAATGCGCTAGAAACGATCGCAGCAGGGAAAAAAGCGTGCCATGCAGCCTCCACGCGCGCCAGGGCAAAAAAATAAAAAAAGAGTGCATGCAAAATGAAGCCACCAGCAAAAAAGTGCGCCCGCCAAGTGTTGAACTTAGCTCCTCAAGACTCACGCCTCGCTGCACTAATCGATTGAGCTGGGGAATTTTCTCGTATGGAGTGCACCCGCAACGATATTTAATAGGGGAAGACAGGGAAAACTCTACCCTAATTAATCACTCCTTGGTATACTAAATGCTGTCCTAAATGACTTTCTTTACAGGTATGGAGGGAGTATTTATTAGCTGTCTAGCCCATCAACTTGTGCTAAAATAAATCTTAATAGGAGATAAGCATTAGACGTTAACATTTAATATCTACAACTAATAAAAACTACTTTAGATAACAACTTATAGCCAGCTAATTTAGACACAAATAAAACGTGTTACTTTGCAATATCTTTATAAGAGCATATATATGTGGGTAATTTAATGTAAATTTAGGGGTTACTTTGCATTGTTTTATGACGACAAACATATATTTATATACGAATTTAGGGGTACTTTAAATTATCTTTCATCCGGTAGAAGTGTGTGCAATGTGGATATACATGTAGTTAGCTATTTTAAATTATCTTTCGTGGTGGATGTAGGTAATTTAGGCACAAATTTAGGTGTTACTTATGTATTTTGTATAATGATAAAGGTCAGCATTTCTTTGAATAGATATAAAACACAATGGATCCAATGTCAATTATATCATATAAGGGCTTTTAGAATTTATCCTTTTTTAGCATGTTCCATTTCATGAACATTAACATGGAGCATTCGATTCTCATTAGTAATAGTATAAGATAAAGACTAGCTTGGCTCACAGATGCTCGACCCTTTTACTATCATTCATCAAAACAATTTAAACTTGGACCATCAATCACTTTCAAACAAGGCTTGGAATTTGTATTATGTAGATATATATCCATGAAAATCAAACAATTTACGACCTATCTACTTGTGTCAGAGATTACGTTTTTTTATGTGTAATAATAACAGTATGAAATTAAAGTCAAGTCAAGTCAAGTATATACATACCTCGATACATCTTTCCAAGTGCGCGGCTGCAGCCCAGGCATTAGCCCTTGAAGGATGTCGGTCATAAGTTTGTCACGTTGTTGTATCGTCATGTACTTGGGTTCCGTGACAATCGGAGTCGGCGTCGGCATTGTACCGGCGGCAACCTCGATCGCGACGTCGGAGAGGCAGCCCACGGCCTCAATGCGCACCTCGTCAGCATAGCAGCATCGCCACTCGAACACCGCCAGCTTGGGTGCACGTAAGCGGAACAACGAGTATTTGGTGAACACGGCTGTGACGCCCGAGTGACACAAGAACAACACCGGCTCCGATGGTGATTCAGTCTTGCTGTACCTACGGCATGACATGCGGATAGTCCTCAGGTCATCGGCGAGCAAGGTGATGGCGGCTTTGGTGTCATCTGTCCTCACGCTGACGTTGGTGAAGCGAAGGTGTTTGAGGCGAGGCAAGGTGTCCGACGAGATGCTTATACTGGCAGTGACGGGAACACGGTGGTGCCGAGCGGGAAGTCCTCGCGCACCACCGTGTCCCAGCAGCGTCGGGTACCGAAGGGCGTTGACACCGGCGCCGTGGATGTGCGGCGGCCTGACGGCGTACCAGAACGATAGCACCTGTAGCTCGACCGTAGCGGGCGGCAGTTGGAGGGGCCCCCGGCGTCCGCGTGAGGTAAGAACTCCTTGCCCACGTGGGGGGTGAGAACCAGCTTCATGGCGTTGGCGAGCGCAATCATGTCATCTGCGTACCAGCATTCCACAGGCAACGACAGGCAGAAAGTCAGGTCCAGGAGTTGGGAGAGGAGGCGCTCCCACCTTGTTGAAACCGACACCGTTCTCATGAGATTCCTGTAGGGGCACAAGGACAGGATCTGGACGAGAATGTCGTCCGGCAGCTTGCTGATATGGTCCTTCTCCTTGTCTGCTGCCGTCGTCGTTCGATGGCTTCTCCATTGCAAGTCTGTTGCTCTTCTCCTGTCGAGTCATAAAGGCACAACTCGCTTGGTGGAGAACAGGGTCCGGCCGATCAACAGCGGGTATCATGGATTACAAGGTGGAACAGTATTTTTCTCTCATACTAAATCAGCCAACAATAAATAATCCATGATCATTTACAGCCTGCCGAACAGGCTGCAAATCAAAATCAATAAAGTGATCAAACATCTTGCATTTATATATACTACTGTCATAAGCTGGACAGGACTTTAATTGGATCAGAGTTCTTTTTGTTTCGTAATAACGATCCGAGTACTACTTGACTGCACGATAGAGAACAGTACCGTATGCCCTGAGTCCTGACACATCACGGCAGCAGGTGAATGCCGAAACCTGAGGTCGGGCCAGCGGATCGCTGAAACAGTTTAAGCCTGGTAAAGGCTGGCCTGGCCTGTGTCGAAGACAGACCGGCCCATGCTAAATTTACTAAGGCCATGTTCGGATCCATAAGGCTAAAATTTAGCTCATTTTTTTTTGTCACCTTTTAGCTCTGATTTGGATCTAAATGAGAGGGCTAAAAGTGAGGACTAAACTTTAACTCATCTTTTTTCATTAGTCCCTCCAAAGTGGACTAAAGAGGGCTAAAAGTTGTCTCTTTATAGCAAAAGACGCATATTATCCACACCCACTCTTTTTTAGTTCTATGTATGAGTATTAATTAGAGACAAATAGATCATGATATAGTACATGGCTAATCTTTAGCCTCTAAATTCAAACAGCCGCATGAATCAAACAGGGCCTACGACCTGTGGAAGTCCATACCACGAGCGCTAGATAACGGGGAACCCACCCGGTGTGGAGACACAATATAGGCCTGCGCACATGGCGAGCGCCGTGGAGAGATCGAACGGCCTGCGCACCGCGCTCAGGCAGGCCTCTCGAGTCTCGAACGTGGGCTAGACCGTTGTCCCCGAGCAGATAGGAAGCTCCTGGGCCGGTGTCCCCGAACAGCCGATGGAAAGACTCTCCATTGAACCTTTGGCTCGGTTTTTTTATAGATGGAAAACATTCCATAAATTAATAACTTATTCTCTCAGTACTAAAAAGTGTCGTTCTACAAATTGAACCATGTCGTTGTAGACTATGGCCCACCTTCTGCAGCCATCCACTAGCCCTTGCTCCCTAGTGCTTCCTCCGTCCTAAAATAAATGACGTTTTTGCCCACCTACTGTAGCCATCCAATGGCCCTTGCTCAAACAAGATGTTTGAAAGTCAAAAAAACGTCACTTACTTTAGGACGGAGGGAGTACACCATAGCACCATTGACATTCATCACTCGCTCCCTCCCACAAAACTCGTCTGCTCCATCCCCTCGCAGCCCCTATCCTTCCCTAGCCGCTTCCTTTGCCCAACATCGACATCAGGTGCTCTCGGCTCTCCAACCACGCCACCAAGATACGCAGCCTTACACGTCGAAGCAGATCGGGGAGGCACGCCCTCAAGCAGGCGCGATCGCCGGGCAAGGAGGCATGCCCGCCCTCCTCTTCTCCTTCGACAGTGTCCTCCCTCATCTTCTGCTTCACTGGCACCCTTCTTCCTCTTCTCCTACGCTGGTGAGGCGAGCGCGAGGCTTGGCGTGGTGGGCGTAGATACCATGATGGATTTGGGGGAGTCCACGGCCGCTGCGGCAACGAGCGCTGGGACAGGCTATCGGCGCTGGGAGAGGTCCCCACGCATGACAAGGTCACCGGTGAGATCGGGCGTGAACCCCACGCCGGCGGGCGAAGCCCCAGCACCGGATCTTGATGGAGATGCACAAGAAACAGGAGTGGAGAGGAGAGAGGACATAGGGGTATTAAGGTCTTTCTTCTTCCTTCTTGATTTGTGTGTCTAAAACGACTTTTTTAATGAGACGGAGGAAGTAACCAGCTCCACGTAAAAGCCCTAGAAACGTGTGGCATTATAAAGTTTGGTGAATGATTAGCACCTAAATTAACGCGGAAGACACCTAGCTTGGTGCATTATAGAGTTTTTTTAGGAAATGTGCATTATAGAGTTATTACATAACCTTGGACATCTAGATTTTTCTTTTCTTTTAACAAAAAAAAGACGACAAGAGTTTTGCCGTAATTTGTACTCCCTCCGTAATTCAAGTCATTTTGGACATTGGCACGGTCTCCAAAGCCTAACTTTGACTTCTTATTTTTATAAAAATATTTATTGGAAAGCGATGTATGTATACTTTTATGAAAGTACTTTTCAAGACAAATCTATTCATATGCTTTTCACATTTCTAAACTCAACAACTTAAAAGTTATTCATGTTTTATATTCTCAACGTTTGACTCAAGTCTTGTCCAAAACGATTTCAATTACCAGCATGGAGGAAGTATTGCACGATCGAAGGAGAAAAACATTTATTACAAAACTCCACCAGTCGGCTCGATAATGAGAAAACACCAGTTTGGCCCTGTTTTTTGTTGTACCAACTCAGTTTTTTTATCTTAATAAATTGCAGTAGGGGCTCAAACCCCTCCTGTTCCTTTCAAAAAAAAAAGAGAGAATACATTACTTCCGGACCGACAGATCGAAATGATGGCTGAGAAACGTGAAACCAAAAAAAAGCACAAGCTCAAAATAAAACACATCCTGCGCCGGGGAGATGACTTGCAGGGTTATCTTTGGGAAGGCTTTGACAGTCTGGTGTTTCTTGTCTGGTGGCACATGTGAAAGGAACGACGCAACCTTTCTCGAGATCGCCGTCGCTGGCTGAACTAGCACGCGAGCTAACACCCCGTTCGCTTGATCGTATCGGTCATGCTTATCAACCATGATATAGTATTTTTCTTTCATAATAAAACGGCATCAGCTGGCTTATAAGTCACAGAAACAAACAAGCGAACAGGGTTAAATGCATTCATCTACGTCGTTACATACATACTCCTTTTGTCCCCAAATAAGTCTCGCTATAGTATTCACGTCGGTCAAACTTTCTTAAGTTTGACTAGATTTATAGAAAATATTAACACCATTTGTATTTCTAAATAAGTTTATTACAAAAATAAATTCGACGAATGTATCCAATGACACTAATTACGTACTATAAATACTAATATTTTTCTTGTATATTTGGTCAAAGTTAAAAAAAAGTTTAGCTCCTCGAAAAACAGGAATGACACTTATTTTGGCATGGAGGGAGTACATTACGTTATATTACATAAGTGCATTGTGTTGCATGGCCGGGGCGAAAATGAAGTGGGCTAAGGCTCCAAAAAACCTAGAAGAAGTCCCTAAGAATACACGGGACAGGGCGTAATGAAAACATGGAAAAGTCCAGAAACTAGATAGGCACCAGGACACAAAGCTAAAGCCTTCGCGCTACCCTCACATGTTACACCGTTATATGAAATGACTAACCATCTTTTGCACCAAATAGAAATCCAATGTCTCCCCGAGTGTCGAAAAACTTGCCAGCAAGTTGAGTATTCGATGAAGCTACAATGCTCAACCTAAGTCCCTGAAAAATGCACCCTCTCAACTCTGGTGCATTTTCACGTGACTTCTTCGCCCTTCGGCAAGGGAACTTCACTAACATCTTCGGTGTCTACACCAACACCACCTCCGCAAACACTTTTGCAGGAGGGTCTTCACTGATTACATTGGCATCTACATCAACATCGCCTCGTGCAACACTTCAGCATGAGGGGCTTCACCATAATCTTTGGCGTCTACCTCAGCATAGCCTCCACCAACACTTTGGCAAGAGGGGCTTCGACATCTTCGGCGTCTACACCAACACGGTCTCCGCCAAACACTTAGGCAGGAGGCTTCACCATCATCTTTGGTGAACTACAAGGACTCATTTCCACCAACACCTTGGTAGGAGGGGCTTCGACGTCATCTTCAACCAATATAACGGCTCAAGAGCCTTCGTAGACACCTTCGACATCAACAACTACAATGACTTGCCTTCGTCAATGAGCTCGAGGGGCTCGCCAACAACTTCGAATCAGACATCTACTTCTACTACTATGACTACATTTACTACCAAGCACGAATGAAGATTCGGTCATGAGTACTAGCCAAGAGGGGCTAGGGGAGCATACTGAAGGAATGGCCACACTAGAGGGCGAAGTCCTCTCGCCAACAACTTCGACTCAGACATCTACTTCTACTACTATGACTACATTGACTACCAAGCACGAATGAAGATTTGGTCACGAGTACTAGCCAAGAGGGGCTAGGGGAGCATACTGAAGGATTGGCCACACTAGAGGGCGAAGTCCTTTTCCTTGCGCACATGAGAGAAGATTTGGAGGCTTCACGACAACCTTTGGGTACGACTACTTCGACTACATCAACTACGACAACCACATATGTTCCCGAAAACATGATGTGTCTATGGATGGAGCTCCTGGCGAGAAGGTCCCTCAAGAAAGGACACACCATGCACCGAAGCTCCTAGCATGAAGGTCCTTGGAGAAAGAACATGTCATCATGTGATGCTCCTAGCGCGAAGGTCCCTGGGAAAGAACATGTCATCAAGCAAAGCTTCCGGCGAGAAGGTTCCGAAGCAAAGATCTACACGCTTAGAAGCCAACAAGGCAAGTCATAGAAGCAACCAAAGCCCGAACATAAAGATTTTGGGAAAATCAACATCAAGGCACTTAGAGTTAGAAGCTTTGGGAATTAGGACTTGTATAGACCAGAGTCATGCCTTTTAATTTTTTCCACAGGGTTTTTGGGATGGAGTGTGAGGCGCACACGGGTAGGTTGCAAATGGCGATCCTCACGACCAGGGTTCAATTTGTATTTGTGCCTCTTCTGATATGAGCATTGTCATGGGTTCGTAACTGCGCCGAGCATCGGGGTTGTTCGTCGGAGGTCGGTGTGTGGGTCTCCGGTGGCTTGGACACTCAAAACATGCGAGGGACATTGATTGGTTTATCCTGGTTTGGGATTTTGAGCCCTACATCCAGCAGTATGGTGTTCTTCGTGTTAGGAATGTCCAATCGGGGG